TTTCGCGCTATATAATAAACCTTATAAACGCCTGATAAACTAGTAATCAGTGCGAGCACAGCGGCTCCAAAATGGCAAAATCACAACAAATATAAACAGAATATAAAGTAAATTAAAACAGCAAAGCTTTACCTACCTCGATGTATTTTTCTAAGGTGCTCGATTATGTAAATTTTCGGCGAACAATCAATATTTTCTTTGCATTTGCTCGACGAGAATCATGGAAGAAAACGTGCACACGATTCAAAATTTATAATTATGCTTATTGTTATTATGCTCGTCCCACGTGATCTGCCGCAAGTTTCACCAACGGACACGAATTTTAAGCTATATGATAGTTGCATGCCATATATGGCATGCAACAAAAAACTATGCCTTTAATTATATATTTGGCAATAATATCCGGCAGAGTACGATGATATCGAATTTAATTTGTAATTACGCCCACAATGTGTTAACGCAACCGACGCTGTCGTGTCCGGTCGTGTCCCTGCAATGTATCAGCGTAAATGACGCTGTCGACTTGAAGTATATTTTAATTGCGCACACCACTTAGTATTTTAGTCGAAATAAAAGTTCATATGTCTCAGCCCACACGTATACAGACCACAAAAATGACGGCTAACTAAATTTAAAATAAATTAAAGGCCACCAGGGGGGTCGAAATGAGAAGTTGACAAGGCGTCAAAATTTCATAGAAGAGCAATTTTTAATTGATGTATATTCAGGAAGGTAGCGACGCCGCAAATTTCGAAACCGTCGACGGTCGAGCACATCATTGATGGTCGAACACATCATTAATTTCGTTCCCAGATTGCTGAGGTGATTAGCGCGTGGAACCATTTGGTGACACCTTATACCAATCGATGCCAGTAAAGATTTTATTTTATTTATTTATTTTATTTTATTTTATTTTACAAGATTCGCCGCACCAAACAAATATTAAACTTATTCAAATATCTACGAGTGCATTGGCTGGGACTGACCACAGAGATAAACTCCAATAACGGGGTCCCGACAAAAAATACAAATTACTATACATGCACAAAAACATTAATTGGCTTTCGCCAAACTGTCAACAGCATGATCTGAAAGATAAATTTTGAATAGAACGAGTAGAGTGGCATTTGACGCACACCGATTTAAAGGTTCTATACGCAGTATGATAGTATAAGGTTTCAGATTTTTGAAAAGATGGCATGCAAAGCAGCCAATTCGGTTATTATTCATTCTACAAAAGAGTTCAGAGTTATAAACAGATTTTTCACATTAAGTGTGGGCTTAGTTGTGTTTCAGTAAAGGTCAGTAAAGGCCGATAAAATTGGCTTATATTGTGTAAACGGCTAAACGACTGCTGTAACTTGGTCAGAAAAGCGTTATAATATGTTCCGTGCGTCAATTTTTTATATTCATCAAGTAACCTACCGTATTTTTAACGTACGAAGTCACGAGAGCGAAGAAACGAATTTTAAGGCAAATTAAATATAATGGCACAGTCGGAGACCTGCTCGCCAGTAACGCGATACGCTAAAATGTGTTGCTAAAGGGCCTGTCACACTATTGCGTATCGTACTAGCGTATGCCAGCGTATGAAAAATATCACTTATACGCCGGTATATACACTGACATACGCTAGGGCTACGTTAGATATAGGTTGTATACGTTTCAAGCACGGTCGCATACGGTGGCATACGCTGGCATACGGCGAGGCAGAAAATTTTTTTTAAGCATGTTCAAAAATTTTGTGCGTATAGAACGTATGCTTTATACGATAAACATACTCTAGGCACACGCTGAATACGCTAGAGATACGCCAGATGTACGGTACTCATACGCTGGCATTTCAAAGGATTTTTGTGCGTATGAAAATTATTTCATTAATTTTCATACGCTTCTCATACGTTTCTCTCATACGCAATAGTGTGACAGGGCCTTAAAGAAAGCTTGATATGTTTTCTATTGCTCAATATATATATGAGTGCACGTGGTTCAAGTAAAAATGGAACCGCACAGCTTAATAATACCATAACTAACATTTCACTTTTACTTGAACCACTCAACATATATCATATTTCAATTTTAGCATTAGCCGTGGACTAATCAAAAGTGCAAGGTTTATAGATATATTATTATTATAGATAGACATTATGTTAAAGCTAACTGTAAATAGCATGTATAATATTGTTGCTAATGTTGGTATTTTCCACGTCACTCTGTTGTGTCTAGTTTTGAGATGGTTCTCTATTTTTCACTTCACAAGAGTTTTAAATAGTGAAGACACTTAGACACTTCAAAGTTAAGATAATCAAGTAAATTTTACAAGATAGTTACTGCAACACTTGTGCGAAGAGCAGTAACCAGTAAACCGAATTGGCTGCTTTGCTTTTCGACTGCTACCCGCTATCTTTTCAAAAAATATGAAACCTTATACTGCGTGAAATCTTCAGTCACTGACATCGTCTTGGTACAATATGTCACCGAATGGTTGGTACGCGCTAATTACCGCTGGCGCGATCTGGGAACGAGATTAATGATGTGTTCGACCATCAATGATGTGCTCGACCGTCGACGGTTTTGAAATTTGCAGCGACGCCTATGTTGTTGAGGTGCATGTGGGTTGTCAGAAGGTCCACCTCAATTGGAAAGTCAATCAATAATGGTATCTCTAAATTTGTAAAGAAGTAAGGGGATCGGAGTGTACTCCCTATGAAATATTTCTATTGACGATTTATTAAGATTGACGATCGCATTTCTGGAAAGAATTAGCTAAAGAATATAATTATGAATAATAGTAATCGAGAATTAAATACGTTAGATTAATATCAAATTTATAAAAGGACACTTCCCAGACCCCATGCATCGCCCTTCCCATCTTTCTGGCGTCCTTGATTACGCGGCTACCATGCATTACGGCTACTTCAAAATTTGATAACACGTTTTTCTCAAAATATATATTTTAGAATATAACCATATGCTAACTGTCTGTACAAAAACTCTTGACATTCGTTCCGGATCAAAAGCGTTATAGGCTATATTATCATATTTGTGAAAACATTCCGAATAATTCGTAGTTCTTATAATTGTTTCATGCAGGGACAATTTGAAATGAGTATTTTATGCATGTTAAATTTTTTCGTCGATCGAATTGAAAATAGCTGGCCGACATATTCAAAAAAGGCGCCTTCTAGTTCATGTATTCATAACTTAGGAGATAAGCAGTCTTAAGGGATCTCAAATATTTAATTTAATTGTCTTATGTTTTCTGTACGCACGTAAATCATCTTTGAAGCAAACTGACTGCCATGGTTACAATATAATGAATCTGATACAACAAACCCTTGTTGATTTAATCAATTTGTTCTTACGTGCAGTGCCGTAATTTAATTAAGATAGACGTTTGCCACACAACAATTTCATTTTTAATTTTAGTTTTAAAGTGTATCGTACCGACATATTTATTTTACTTTGAGATTCCCAAGAACCGAAAATTCCCACTGTCTTTTTTTCTAATTGCATGTTAATGCATGCATGTTTACGTCGTTCTTTGTTATATCCGAACAAACATGTCCCCCGAATTCTCAACATAAGGAGCAAACATCACGTTTGCCTCAAATTTGAACTAACATTTGACAGCAAAAGTGGATATACATGTCATTTGATAGGCCTCACTACTGTATAAAATAGCATAATTAATCCATTTTCACACTCAAAAAATTATTATTGTCTGGATAGATAAGAAAATTTTAGATTTTTAATCTTAATCATATACAGGCTACCTTCCTATTTGAGAGAAATCCTATCAGAAATCATATACACATGTATGCACATTGAGACGTTTCGAAACCTTGGCCATGCATTGGTCATACGCGCATGTGTTAAAATAATATTTAGCCTACATATATACGTTGATTATAAATTATACGTTGCAGATAAACTGTATTTTTATTCACGTGCGGCTTGAACTATAATTATAGTGAATGGCTACAACATTACAATCTCACATCCTTGATCCTTTAATTACGAGTCAGTTCATGGAAATGCCAATGTAGGCCTAATACAAATTTATATATGATATGGAATATACGTTAATTTTTCAGTAAACAAGTTAATGTGTTATATTATTGTGATCCGCGACATTTGTATAGTATGCAACCGAGTGCCTATAATTAAAACTCTGGCAGTCGATCAGATCATTAGGGCTTTAGTATAGGATGACTCAAAACGTTGAGAATAACTTTTACAGTTCAGTGTTACCCTCTGAACTGCGGAAATTATTCTCAACGTTTTGACTATATGTATACTAATACCCTAATGATCAGATCGACTATACCAGAGTTTTAATTAGTATTAAATATTAAATATAATTAAATTATCTAAATGCTCCAGTACGCAATTAACACCTTGTATTTCAGGGTTTACTGCATTTAGCTAAGTGTATCCAAATGCTGGAATTTCTACATCAACGACGCGTAAGCAATAATGTTGTGCTAAGAATAGCTAGTGCTACTCAAATAATTGTATTATAATACAAGAAGTGCTAGAGAAATATGATGCAATTGAATGCTCCAGTATAACACCTAAAAGCTCAGGGTTTACGGTAACACTATATATGTCCAAGCTAGTGTTGGAATATTTATATGTATAGCTATACGACACATGTAGTGCTAGTATCAAACATGATACAAGTTGAGTACTACTTATGCACCTATCAATGTCTTCCCCCAACGGGGTGAGTGCGGGCATACCCAGGGGCTATTGACATTTTCAATTATTTTTTGTCAATTATCCCTTCTTGGGGGCTGTATGGAACTGTCAATTCGTGTTTAATGCCCCAGGGTTGGAGATGAAGCATTGTATTATCCCTGGGATAACAGTTTGACCGAAACTGACTAGCAGTATATGAGTATTAACCGGATAAAATTTTCAAGTCAAGCGAGGCAGGAGCGAAGATGAGAGACTGGGTACGAGGTTGCTCCTGCAGCAATTTTAATACCTTATTTTTATGCTACTCTGAGCAGGCTTGAGTTTATATTAATTGAGTCTTGAGACTTGGCAGGTTCATTGACTTCGCCTTTGGACTGTGCTACTTCTTCAACCACATGCATTTTGTCTCCACTTGATATATTGTTATAGTCATCTACATCCACAAACTCACCGAAATCGTTATCATATTTTTGAATTAAAAATGAATCTGAATCCAAGCCAAATAGCTGTCGTGCCTCTTTCCGCAACTCTTCGAGAGATGCTGCTGTGGCAATCTTTTTGCTGTTTTTATTCTGAAGTAGAACCTGTCCAGATATATGTAAAAACAGAAGATTATTAAAAAACGTTCGATCACATGCTGTCATGAATGTTTGACTAGTCAAGCATAGAACATTGGAAAACACTACGACAAAAGAATTTTTGTTGTAAAACAAAAGCATTTTTGTTGCATCATAAAACAATACTGTATTTTATACAGAAGCAGATGGTGTGTTTGAGAATGGGTATAGAAAGGATTCTTACCTTGATCTTTTTAATAATATTCTCGGTTTGTTCAGCCATTTTGAATTTATAGACGACGCACGACGTGACGACGTACGATCTTGTCAAAAATCCCCACCCTCGGGAGGGTGCGCTGTGTCAAAAAAATACAACTGTCCCCTACACGGGCATTAATTTGTTGTCAGTTGTCCGTGCATGCCCGCACTCCCCCCGTTGGGGGAAGACATTGATAGGTGCATTATAAGCGCTAATGTACTAATTATATACTATACGCTAGCAGTACTATATTATAGAAAGTTTATTTAGGTCACAATTTGTCTAAATGCCTCAGTAACAAGTTATAGCTCAGTGTCACATAAAAAAGACATATCTAACTACAACACATGTATCTAGTGACAGCAAATATACATTATTTTGGCTCAGTGTTCACTGCACAAAGACATATCCAAATGATGGGATATTGACGTTTTTAGTAGCATAATATACGGCACGGTTACCACAAGCCATAGACGTTTTACCACAACCAGCATGCTCTGCTCCCAGACCAATCCAAGAATCACAAGTGTCACAATTCCATTCATTGTTGGCAACTAAACAAAACCGTAGATACATAAATACATTAGGGGATAACCAGCTATTAAAATTGAAACCTTGACGGTTGCAGTTGGCTTGCAATGAGAAACCACTGATCAAGGATTTTAGCGAATAAAGAGGAAAATATGTTGGCCTGAATGTTCCGTCTTTAATCACACTGTACAACGAACTGGCTTCGTAATCAAACGTGTTCCATCTTCTGTCGCCATTAACGGTCATACCAAGACATATTTTCTTAAAAGGAGTGTTCCAGTAAGAGGCCAGTTTACTTTTTTCTCTGTTAGTCCTTCAAATCAATCTTCAACTGCATAACTTTCCTTGTTCGTCCACAAAGATGAATTGTAGTTAAAATAACACACGTCATTTACCCAAATGAAGGCTGTTATCTCAGTTAAGCACGAATGTTGGGCATGCAACTGTAACTCAGCTTCAAGGTATTTCTGTTAAATATTTTATGTTAAATATTTTATATTTAATATACATTACTTAATATAATCTGTATATATATGTAATCTATACGTAATTTAATACTTGAACATTCCGTTTACGTCAAACATGTATATAGTATATATAACCTTGGCAACAACATAGTGCGACATTTAAATTCACCTGATGAGTGTGGCAAGCATTGCTTGTCATACGAAACAAGTTTGTAGTGAATAAATCTTATGAAGTAAACCAGGTTTATTTTATCTTTATCTATTAGCTCTATACTTCGGTATATCGAGCACTCTACTCATATATGATTCTAAATACATATTTGGTATATTTCGCTCCTTTATTGTTGAGCACTCTACGAATAAATATGGAACCTATTAATCTTGGATACTCCACAAAGAACATACCAGTTGCGCAGCCAAAGGAATACTTAAAGTGTTTGGTCACCAAAACGGAATCTTTTCTACGACGTATTCGATGGAAAGCTTATCATTTTCTCAAACCTGACGAGTCTGCGGAATCTGCATCACAGGAAACCTTTGGTTTTCGTTCTACAAAATCGCCTCCCCCAATGAAAGAGCTTGAAGAATTTGAAAATAGAATGTTTTCTATTATTCAAAATGTTAAGTTTGACAAATGCCAAAACGAATTTCAGAAAACCCTTACGAAAGACTTAAATAACATTCGTAGTGAAGATAAAGTTTTAATGTCCGCAGATAAAACAACAAACTTTTACAAGTTAGACGCCCCTTCATACGACAAATTGCTTGATAATGCCATAACGAAGTCCTACAAGAAAGCTAACGCGAACATTACTTCCATGCAATATAGCAAATGAGGAAAAGATTATAGCTGAGAATCTTGGACTTGCCAACCGAATCGACGCATTAGCACCCAAAAATAGCTTCGTAACATTGAAAGATCACAAACCAAATTTTCAGAACAATCCAACCTGTAGACTAATCAACCCTTCCAAATCAGAAAACGGTGTCATTAGTAAACAACTCCTGCAAAGTATCAATTCAAATATTTTGATCCATACTAACTTAAATCAATGGAAAAACAATAACTCTGTTATTTCATGGTTTAAGAATTTACCTAACAAGTCATCTCGTTCGTTCATTTGTTTTGATATCGTAGATTTTTACCCATCCATAACTGAAGAGCTGCTTCTTAATGCCTTAACCTTTGCTTCCCAGTTCAACACCATCACGGATGAGGAGAAGCACATAATAATGCAGGTTCTCTTCAGCAGAAATCAAACTTGGTGCAAGAAAGAGTCAGATAGCCTCTTTGATGTAACGATGGGCTGTTTTGATGGTGCGGAAACATGCGAGCTAGTTGGTTTATTCCTACTATCCAAACTTCCTCCAGAATATCGAAATGATATTGGTCTCTACAGAGATGATGGCCTTGCAGCGTTTGACAAACAACCGCGAGAGCAATAGAAAATATCAAGAAGCAAATTTGCAGAACTTTTAATGAACATTATTTAAAGATTACAATCGAAGCTAACAAAAAATGTGTCAATTACCTAGATGTCACATTTGACCTAAGAAATTCCTCATTTAAACCGTACATGAAACCGGGAAATACGCTTCAATATGTCCATCGTCAGAGTAATCACCCACCCGCGGTTTTAAAGGCAATTCCTGATGCAATTAACAATCGATTGTCCAACATCTCGTCTGACGAACAAGCATTTAATTCAGCTTGTCCTCCGTACCAAGATGCTTTACATAAGAGTGGTTACAACTACAAGTTAAAATACAATCCCCAGCATGCAAAGACAAAACGCACTAGAAACAGAAACGTTATATGGTTTAATCCACCTTACAACTCTAATGTCAAAACGAATATGGAACACAAATTCCTCCAAGCAATTGATGATTGCTTCCCTAAAAACAATCCTCTCCATAAAATATTTAACATAAATACCTTGAAGCTGAGTTACAGTTGCATGCCCAACATTCGTAATATAATTTCTGGGCACAATAAATCTGTAGTAAATAAGATCACCTCAACAGATGCGTCAACATGCAGCACGAAACCAAGACAATGCAATTGCAGGAATAAGTCCTCGTGTCCACTGCCCGGTAAATGTCTAACATCCAGCGTAGTATACCAAGCAACGGTTGTTAGGAACGATACGAATCAAAAGGAATCGTATGTCGGACATACTGAAGGAGAGTTCAAATCCAGATATTATTGCCACACTAGCTCATTCAGATTAAGCAAGTATAGAAATGCGACAGAGCTGAGCAAATACATCTGGCAACTTAAAGAGTCAAAGGTCAAGTACTCCATAAACTGGCGTATTATTTAGCAATGCAAGAGCTACAACAACACAACGAAACGCTGCAGTCTTTGTACACATGAAAAATTCATCATAATCTACCACCCTGAACTTTGTTCTTTAAATTCAAGAAGTGAACTTTTGTCGAAATGCAGACATAGAAACAAATTTCTCTTAAGCAATATACATTACTTAATAATTATAATCTGTATGTATATGTAATCTATACGTAATTTAATACTTGAACATTCCGTTTACGTCAAACAAGTATATAGTATATATAACCTTGGCAACAACATAGCGCGACATTTAAATTCACCTGATGAGTGTGGCAAGCATTGCTTGTCATACGAAACAAGTTTGTAGTGAATAAATCTTATGAAGTAAACCAGGTTTATTTTATCTTTATCTATTAGCTCTATACTTCGGTATATCGAGCACTCTACTCATATATGATTCTAATAATACATATTTGGTATATATATATATAAGGGATGAGGTGATATCAGTTTTATCGCTCGAGGGATGATATCACAATTGTCACGAGCGAGCGCAGCGAACGAGGGACAATTGTGATATCGTCCCGAGAGCGATAAAACTGATATCACCGAATCCCGAGTACGATAACCTATTTATTATATACTTGTACCTTTATCAGGGTTTGACACCCAAATCTTCTATTAACCGTGCCCAAAGTAAACAGTTTTGATTTTTGAAAAAATAGGATCATTTTAGAATTCAAAACAATTCATCGTTTACTGAACAAATATGATTTTAGAAAATAAATAGACCATTCATATAGATAATATACAATTTAAGTCTTTCATTTTGTATTATCGTTCTTGTTTTCTTCGATAAACTCTCGACATCAACCAACACGAACCTTGAATCGGCCATCTTTGTTTTGACAAGGCGCGAAATTTAGCGGGACAAAAAACGATATCCGGATCCGGGACAAAAAACGATATCCGGGACAAGAAACGATATCCGGGACGATATCGTTTTTATGTCCCGCTGCTTCCTACCTGATGAAGGTACAAGTATGTGATAAATATATATATATATATATATATATATATATATATATATATATATATATATATATATATATATATATAAGAATAATTACCTAACCAATTCAATTATTTTCGATCAATATGAATGAATAAAATTTGTGAATACTGGCTGCATTGGTAGAGTCTATAGAGACAAGTAGATTTTCAGTGCTCTTTATAATGAAATTAAACGGTTTGATTATAAAAAACATATACTATATAGCTAGTGTATGCATGTGTCAGTTAAAAAAAAAAGTTTTGACAATGCCAATAATTAGAATAACCACCATGCACGATGATTACTTTTTAGCAATGAGTTTTTTAAAGCCCGCCGCACACGAGCGCACTTGTCGCGCGTACTTGTTATTCGTGACAAGTTGGATCGACAAAATTTCCTCGTGTGCGGGCAACATTTACGGCATTTTCGTCATTCGTGACATGTAAACCAAATATCAAACATGTTTGATATTTTTCGTCATTCGTGACAAAATAATTCTCGTGTGCGGCGAGCAAACGACAAGCGCGCCTGAATAGGAAAATTTGCGCATGCGTGCAACTTGCAGAATTAAAAACAACATGGCGGATGAAAATCACGAGCACGCATGCGCAAATTTTCCTATTCAGGCGCGCTTGTCGTTTGCTCGCCGCACACGAGAATTTTTTTGTCACGAATGACAAAAAATATCAAACATGTTTGATATTTGGTTTACATGTCACGAATGACGAAAATGCCGTAAATGTTGCCCGCACACGAGGAAATTTTGTCGATCCAACTTGTCACGAATAACAAGAACGCGCGACAAGTGCGCTCGTGTGCGGCGCGCTTTAAGGATACATGGGTTTAGTCATTTGAAATTATACGGTGTTCTCCGGATTGTAATTATTTGTTTCGAGCTTTCGACTCGGTACTTCGAGTCTTCATCAGAAGGATTGATCTTTTGAATTTTCGCGCAGTTGTAAGTAAATTGTAGGGATGTCAATGCGACGGTTAAATACTGATTTGTTTGTCTAAACTATGCAACGCTTCTTTGATAAACTCACGGGCATGTTTGGTCGTTGCTTGTCCTAGGCATCTCGTTTGAGACCAGTCGAATTTATGTCCGTTGTCGTATGTGTGTTTAGCTGGAAGTGAGCTATATGGTCGTGTCTGTTGATTGCGTTCTAGTGTTCTGTTAGTCTTGTCTGAATCTTTCTAGGTGTTTGTCCAATGTACTTATCCGGACAGTTTTTGCAAGGGAAGATATAAATGGCGTTATGTTTTCCCGTTATATGTGTCTTGTCTTTGTTTTTAGTGAAGTTGGCATGGGGAAGTGGAACTACCTTTGCATGTTGCTTTGTGCGCAGCGTCAATGTTGAATGGTCGGAGGAGTCTAGCTGCCATTTCTGATCTAGTGTGCATGTATGTAAGGAAGTGTAATTCTCGTTTTTGTGTTAGTTTGTTGTTTATGTTGTAGTACCTTATTAATGAACTCTAAAGGGTAACAACATGCAAACTTAGGTCCAACTTCACTAAACACAAAGACAAGACACATATAACGGAAAAACATAACGCCATTTATATCTTCCCTTGCAAAAACTGTCCGGATAAGTACATTGGACAAACATCTAAAAAATTCAGACAAGACTAACACCATGCAGAACGCAATCAACAGACAACACCATGCATAACAGTAGTATAGTAGGTGGTTTTCGACCCGGATTTTTGAGGTGGTGGATGAGGTGGTGTGAGGTGGTGGAGTTTTGAGGTGGTGGAGTTTTGAGGTGGTGGGTGTCCACCACCTCATTTATAATTAATACTCGTATAATTGAGGAGGAGTAATGACGTCACTCATTAAAATACGTCATAATTATATGCAATGACGTCACGCGGGCAGGTTTAAACACGATCGGGCGAAACTTGCTGACTACGCATTTTTTAGCGTCCCCACGTTTATGATACAATGGAGAGATTAATGTGTCATTACTATGATTGGTTGTTTGATTTAATGAGCGTCTGTATAAAATCGACAAGCGTCTTGTAACAAGCATAGTTCTGCATCAGTCATGGAGTGTCTACACGGAAAAGCTGCTGCCTCTACAACTACAAACAATGGTACATTTTGGTTTTGTGGGGAAAAACAAAGCTGTGAGTTCTTTTGCCCAGACGAAAATTGTTATATGTATACGAGAGCTGTAGCTGCGTTTCGTGCAAGTGGTTCTATACATCCCGTATGTCCTACACATCAGAAATTTGCCAAGTTATGTGTGGTCAAAGACACAATGAAAGATAATTACGGACGACCCTTCTTCGTATGTTCTGAGCGAAGGAATTCCTGCAAGTTCTGGCAATGGGGAGACGTGTTCGAAGGTCCAAGACCGTTATGTCAACATGGAATGGTGTGCTGTGAACGAAAAGTCAAGAAAGATGGTCCGAATCAAAACCGTCTGTTTTACTGCTGTCCGAAGGACGACTCTTGTGGTTTCTTCGAATGGAAGCAACAAGGCCCTCGGGTGACCAACACTGGCATCGTGCTCTTCAGTAATCCACTACAATACCAGTACATGATTGAAGAAACAGGAGAGACATTTAATAGTTCTAAATCTAACACTAAGGAGGCCTATGATGAATTTCGTAGATTTGGTTTAACAAGTGAACTTGATAAAATAGACCTCTTGTAATAATAATACGTTGCTAGTTAATTAATGTAAATTTGCGTATATTTACTGAAATAAATACTGTGTGTCTCATTTGTTGTTCAATCGTTGTGGTGAGAGTATCATGGATAACATAGATATAATTTTTGATGAGTTGAAACGAAATGAAATTGATATTGATAAGCAAACTTTATCGTTTCATATAAATACAATTCTCGACCGCCATCGAGGTCTATATCGTGCAGTAAATGTTCGTGATCTAAACCTTGACCAAATCTACAGAGAGATCAATGTAACAAACTTTGGTTGTATCATTGCCTATTTAGCTTTGGTATGTGTACAAAATGATAGCGAGGAATCTATTCGTCACAATGTACAAAAAACCATCGAGGCATGTCGAATTTTTACTATTCCCAAACATAAACGAAGTAAACGTCCAATTTTAATAACACTCTCACTCACACTGATAGCTTTATATATCAGCCTATAATTACTGGATGTTTCATTTTGTTCAAACCTCTGAAGAGTAAGGATGCCTTGCTGTAAAGGTTTACCACAAATCTCTCTTCGAAACATTTTTCGAAAAGTACGCTGTATTTCTGCTTGCTGTGGTGGAAAAATTGTAATTCAAGCCTCAGACATCGATGGCGGAGAAATATCTAAGCCAGATCTATTACGATCCAGAAAGCCCCACAAGTTTTGGTGGCGTAGATTCCGTTTATCGCGCCGTGAAAAACGAAGGGAAATATGAGATATCGCGGAATAAAATACGCCAATGGTTACAAAAGCAAGATGCCTATTCATTGCATAAACCTGTCAGATATCGCTTCAGGCGTAACCGTGTTATAGTTGGAGCCATGGATGATGAGTGGGAGGCAGATTTAGTCATTATGGATTCATTAAGTCAACAGAATAATGGGTACAAGTACGTTTTAACTGTTATTGATGTACTCAGCAAATATGCGTGGGTTGAAGTGATAAAAGCAAAAACTGGGAACAATCTTGTCAAAGCCTTTGACAAAATAATCAAGAAAGGACGCAAACCGAAAATGTTTCACACTGATAAGGGGACGGAGTTTATCAATAGACAGTTTCAAACCTTTTTGAAGAAACATGGCATTCGATTTTTTACGACGTACAACGAAACCAAGGCATCAATTGTCGAAAGGTTTAATCGCACGCTCAAGACAAAAATGTGGAAATACTTTACAGCGAACAATACGCTCAAGTACGTGGACATTCTCCAGAAACTGGTCAAATCTTATAATCGTTCTCGACATCGTAGTATTGGTATGAGACCGGTCGATGTGAATAAAAGTAACGAGAATATTGTGTGGCAAACACTCTACGGGAAGGGGTCGAAAAAATCAATCCAGTTTA